AGTGTCGTGCCACAAGGGTGCCCATGTGTGTGTGCATGGAATTGACTGCCTACTGGGGTATTCTGGGTTCTTCTTCCATCTTCCATAGTCTTGATCTCGTGTGAAGTGTGTGAATCACTTACTCACCTGACGAGAGAATGAATGGAGTATCTTGTGATTCATGCTATGTCTTTCTAAAGTGCTTTGTTTATTTCATTCTGAATGGCTGTAGTCTCTTTCTGGGGCCAAAATTCGTTTTTCAATTCGTTAGGGGCAGAGAGTAGGTCTTTGTGGAACTCTTGTTGGTTGGGACCTGGTTCTGACTCCACTGGGACCATTTGGGACTCAGTGGGACCAGGCCCAAACAAGAAGGGCCCCTCAAGCCTGAATTTGTTGACGTCAGTTACCTTGCTCTATCTGATTGGGACTCAGAGTTCATGCTTTCGGACCAGGACACTCGCTGTTGAGGGGATCTCAGCTGAGACGTTCTCACAGACTTCACCACGATCCACCGCTTGACCCGCACCTTGGACACCACTCAATTTTCTCTTGTATAGCGTAGGTACACTTTGCATTTTATTTGTTGTGTCTTTACGGAGGTGAGTCCGGCTAGGCTTGAGAGGACCTCATACATAGTCGAACCAGACTGTGTTGCAGAATCAGATCTCTCTGATCTTTATTTTTTTGATTGTTTTGAATGCTCTCCAGTCCAAATGAATTGCCGCTCCGGCTAGGAGTTCTACCTTCTCTTCTAATTGCTTTCAAGTTGTTTCTTTCATTGGGTTCGTTAAATGTCTGCGTGTACATGATCGCAAAAGAGAGAGAGAGAGAGAGAGAGAGAGAGAGAGAGAGAAGCTTGAGTGTTGCTCTTGAGGGGGCGAGGAGAAGAAAGAGGAGTGTTCGTCCCAAAACTGTGAGGAAGTACGGACCTCTCTTGAGAGACTTATTGACACCCTCGTCCTCCATCATGGCATCTACAGCAGAATGAAAGCTGCAAATGGACACTGCCCCTAATCCGAAAAAAGCGCAGTACCGACTCTTTTATGAAAAAGCGTTGAAGAGGGAAGAGGAAGAGAAGGAGAAGGAGAAGGGAGACAAAGTAAAGGCTCATTAAGCCGTCTTCAGTACTGTGCCCGCCTTAACTAATGTTGAGGTCAAAGAGAAGACCGTCCCACTTCTCAGGGTTGTTGAAGACCATACTGGCCAACTCGCGAAGGTGTTTGATGAAATCAAGAAGTTGCGCGAGGATATGGCCGTGATGGCGCAGCAGCACCGTGACCAGCTGCAACAATTTGCGAACATGCAGCCAGCTCAAAGTGTCCTTCCATCTGCTTACCCTGCTAACTGTGTCTTCTTCTTCTTCTTTGAGTGCGGTCAACAGCCTATCCGGATCTGTAGTAGGTTCATACCCCGTTGTTGCTATTGCTGCTGCTGCAGTGGCAAGTGGCAGTGCAAGGCATTCTTGAACTGTTGCAGCCCCAAATTCGAACCCAGCAATCGTTGGTCCTAGCTGCAGCTTTCCCTACGTGGACAGGAAGGCGGCACAAATTTCGTATGAATATGACTGAAAGGACGACATTGAATCTTGGATCAGTTCTATGCGATCCTACTTTGATGTGTTGGGGACACCCCCGGTTACTCAGTCGTCGATCCTAAGGACCAATGTGGAGTCCGTTGTAACGGGCTTCTTAGAAGTCCAAGCTATACAGTCAGGCTATAAAAGAATAAACCTGAACAAATGGCTGAACGCTACGCCTATAGCTGCACTCGAGGATCTCTTGATCAGACAATATGCTGATCCGCATGCTGCAACCAAAGCTAAACTCAAGCTTGACAAGCTCAAGCACAGCAAGTGGACCGGCCCCATGCATAGTCTGCAGGAGTATGTTAGTAAACTCTTTGCTACTCTTGATCTGGAGATGACTGCGCAGTCTTGCTTGGATGTCATTAAAGGTATGGTTCCCTCTACTGTAACACATCGCCTGGGATTCAGACTCATAGCATGTACAAATTTGGCTTTCCCATATGCGGGATTTAGTCAAGCTGGAGGCACAAGACCTCCCGGGTGGATTGGATGGGAAAAAAAACACCAGCCGCAAACAATTTCCGAGCAGCCACCGTTTTGCAGAGCACGATCAACTTGAGGTTGACGAGGAAACCTTCACAGAAGACCCTTCTGTTGGTGACGATCAAGAACAAGACTGCAAGGCATCTTGCTCTTCGTCAACCCATGAGTCCGACTATATAGATGATGATGAATCAATGAATGCCTTTACGAAGACTGCCTTTAAAAGTAAGGGCCCGAAGAACACAGTGAAGAACAACACTAACACCATTCACCTCCGCACAAGAGCGGGGATTCCACCCAAACCGGAGGATCCTGCCACAAAACCACGGGTTTAGTGAAAGTGAGTGGAAACAATGGGTGAAGATAGGGGTTTGCCTACATTAGGGGTAGAGACATCATCAGCACACTCTACAGACGGAGAGGCTGAAAATGCAGATCCTTCACCGGATTCCGATCCTACTCGACAAACCTCTCTTGAGACCCCATCTGGTGCTGATTCCAAGGCTGAGAAATTGCACATCCTCTACAAGGAAGCTTGGGTGGAGTCGAAAGAAATAGACTTTCATGCTCTCTTGTTGCGCTGGGCTTACACGAAGCAAGAACGCTCGCAAGGGAAAACGAAGTTGATCTTCTTCAAACTCCGCATTAATGGCCGATACATCCGTGCGCTGGCTGATTGTGGCACAACCGCCAACTACTTCTCACCGCATGGCATTCGCAAGGCACGCTTGGGAATGAAGCAAGTGACTTTGTCGAGTCCTTGTCGGACCCAAAGTGGGCAACGAAGAGGTGCTCACATCTACGCATGCAGTCACAGTGGTCACAGGCATGTACAATGGCGATGTAATGGCCAGGGCCATGCACAATGCAGGCAGAGATGTGGGATGGAGGATTAAACCACTCACCTGCTTGAGCATTGTGTAGCTCAAGTTGACGGTCCCTCATTGCTACTTGTAGGGCAACAATGGTAAAGCCTCCTTCGTTGGTATAATTACAATCCTCTGGCTGCAGTTGGGGAAGATCAACATCAAGCTGAAGGGCGATTGCAAGGAAGTCTGATGGTGTATAAAACGGGCGGTGGAGAATGCGAAGACAGATATTAGTTGTCGTCATACCACAGCGATTGGTGAGGTTCTCAGGCTAGTTTGTTGGATGTTGGCCAACAATTTGCAGATCACCCACATGGTGTTGCAAGGCCATACCGTGTTGGGTTGTTTGCTGGTCAGTCATTTCCAGATCACCCATGTCGTTTGCGCGTGGCGGAGCACAAATTTGTGGTTCGCCCGAACAGTGGTGGTCAGCCATTTGCAGATCCCCCAAATGGTCTACGCCTCCTGGGGTCAACTGCAATCCGGGCAGATCATGTCCCAATCCCTCAACGTTTAGGGCTGCATCCTGAGTAGGGACTGTCCCTGGCGTCGGGAGTGTACTCTGGGCAGGGACCACCTCGTGTTGTACAGGTTTGTCCTGAATATCTAACGTCGCAGGGTATAAAACATGGTGGCATGGCTGCCTGCAGGCAGCTGGACTGTCTGCAGGAGGCATAGTAGCGGATATTGCCGTTTGAAACAACAACAACCTGTGGAGGAGGCACATAGAGAATCAGGGCAGACAAAGAAACAGGTTGCTGATCCCCAAACAAGTGGATGATGTCGCGGATGTCGTCTTCGATACACAACAAGAGTAGTGGTGTTGTCCAGAACCCCAAATAACCCCAGCAACCCCAGCAACTCCCCTATAGCCCCCTACCGCCCCCTAACACCCTCATCCCCCCCACCTTCACCCCCTACAACCCCCCCTATAACCCCCCTATACCACCCCATATAACCCGCACCACCAGCAAAATAATTCATTGCGGATTTTGACTGCTCTCCTCAAGCCGCGCACGACCATGTAATAAAAAATAAAAATAAAAAGATGCAAGGCAGTCTGCGGACTGCTGATGGGTCCGGCTACGGGTCGTCCCGACTGGTAGGCGCGCTTACCGCCTACGGTAGGCGTCGGTGGTAGGCGCCAAACCTACCCTGGGTACTCTTCCGAAAAAAAAAAAAAAAAAAGCACGGCCAGACTTTCAAAAGAGGGCGTGCTCACAACCACAAAAAAGAAAAAGAAAAAAAAAACAAACACCCCTTCAGACGTGATACCAGGTAGATACCTACCCCAAAGTAGTTGTGTGAGTATACCCTCAGTGAAGGCGTTACGGCAGGGTTGTCAGGTCCACGGAAGAAGGAAAATAAAATAAAAATTGAAACTGAATTTAGGGGGGAAAAGCGAGTTCATACATTCTGCAGAGTAGTAGTGTGGGCATGCCCTCCTCCACAAAGTGTCAGCAACCCATAGACGGTGCCATGCCTCCCTGGCAGGGCACCAAAACAAATAAAAGAAAGAAAAGAAAACAAAAACAAGAACAACGAAACCCTGAAACTGGCCACAATACTAGTTAGATACTTTGTTGTGAGTTTTGGTGTGAGCACAACTTCGTGCATGGCCTTCCCCGACTCCTTTTGTTTTTCTTTTTGCTTTCCGAAGGGGCCCACAAGGCCCAACTCCCGAGCCTCCGCCGACCCCCCGAAAGTTCGGAAAAAGTGGGAAAACTGCAAAAAGTGGGAGAACTGCCAGTTTTCCCATTTTTCCCAAGAGTGACAAAGGTAGTGGCGGCTTAATGACCTCTTTTTAGAAAGAAAAAGTGCACACAAAACCCTGATGCATGCACAGATGTGACCCAAAGCATGGTAAGAGCTGTCACCCTGCCCCCTTGCACTAGCCCAAGATAGGGGCTTGGGGTAGCTTCGCTTGTTGGTCTATGAACCCTCAATTCCCCCAGTTGGCAAAAGTGTGCACCATCCGCCTACAGAGCACTCTCGGACTGTTTGTTAGCAAACAAAAGACAACAGGCAACATACGCAGACGAGAAAATATCCTTCCAACCCATTGACCAAGCAACTTGCCCCACCTCTGCAAGCTGGGCGAGCAACTTCTCAACCTCGGCAGACGGAGTATGTGCTTCCCGCAGAGTAATGCCAATGGATTCACGACTCTTTGCCTGCATATCAGATAGCCCACACCACCCCACATCAATGGAGCCGAGGCAGTTATTTCACACAATGGATTCACGACTCTTTGCCTGCATATCAGATAGCCTACACCACCCCACATCAATGGAGCCGAGGCAGTTAATTCACAATAACATGTGCCACTCACCGTCTGAATGCGAGCTCCAGAGGATCCACATGATCATATGAGGCCAGCAATGCAAGTGCCTAGCGCAAGAGTTTGTGCCTGACTAGAATACCCTAAACAGTCCAACTCCAGAGTTTCATCCCACATGCAGCGAGTTGAACATTACACTCCTTCAAGGCCAGAAAGAAACATCAAGCACCATTCAGATATCAGCACCATGATAAGTGCTCCAATGCAGACACCTCATGCATGACTTGAAAACAAAGTATGCCTTCTTCGTAAACATCAACGACTTACTGCCTGGTTCTGTATACGGCAAGGAATATGAGTGAGAGCGATATACAGAAAACCAAGATGCAAAATCATGTAGAAGTCCAGATAGTCATGTAACAAGCAGAGAGCTCAAAAGCACCAAGATTCCATCCAAATAAGAGCAATATGATGAACTCGTGAGCCAATGTTCAAGCCCTCAGGCCACACAAACACAGTATTCAATGTCACTCCTCTCTGCATGACGCCCAGCGCCCAGCCTTCTCTACCCGTCCTATCTATCCTACCTACGTTCATGCAACAGGCTCACTTCAACTTTGATGACCAATGTACATGTGGTCAACACCAATGCTGACCTCTCACATACACCAGGTATGTACTCTCGTCCCCCTCATCACCCCCTGTCTACCCACTTCTGCGCCTCCTCCCGAAGACCCCCGTCCCCCTCCTCTGCCTACGCGCCCTGCAGCCCGGCTATGGCCACTAGCGCCCTGCTGCCCAGCCAGCCAGCGCACATGCAGACACTTGCGCACCGTCGCAGCAGCATGTCCGCAATGTGTGCCTAGGCCAGAATGCCCCTCCCTGGCTGGCTGGCTTCCTATATGGATGTGGCAGCTGCTGCTAGAGTCCCTGGCCTGGCCATGGAAGTTTCCAGTACCTTCGGGTCAACAGTTGAGGGCCTGGGCCCTTTTCAGTTGGGCAAACCCAGGATTTTCCAGGCTCCGACTGTTTGCTGCATTTGCACTGGCCCACGGGTTAGATACGACGACATTGCTGCTTTCTCGTTGGCCCGTGGCCACTTCGTGATGTGTCGGCGTCACAATGCGTGTGCCAGGGCACAACCACCAGCGCCCTGGGCTCAACTGCCTGGCGCAGTTGCTTCTTCTGGAAAAGCCCAGGGTAAGGCTCAGGTTGCATTTCAACCAACTGTCGTGCAGCAACTGTCTGAGACCCGTATTGGAAAATGCTGAGATAAGGGCCTCTCGTGAATATTCAGGCCCGCCTTCACTTAGGGCGGGCACGAGGCTTGCTGCAGGGCCACATTCCAGATCATATGCATGTTGCCTAGGGCCCCCTGAGGACTCCTCACATTCCATCCCCCTTAGCTTCGAAAGTCCGCTGAGATGCTTCTATGCAGGTGCCTACCCCTTCAACCGTCTCTCATAGTCTGCGACAACCTGAGGTCTCTGGTGAACCATCGGTCTTGTTTTGGATCCGTATAGTGCCTGAATCTGACCCTGTATTCCCTCTTGGGTTTCGGCGGTCTCCCTCTGCCCACAGGCTTGGGAACAAGCATGTCTCTGTGCTCCAAAATGCCGTCGACGTCCACGTGGCCATCCATGTTGGGGGCAGCACAGATCTCCATGATGGGACTGCTGTGTCTCAGCGAAAGGTGCAAGCTTCAAGGCGTGAAACACAGGGTAACTGCGCAGGTGACCAGGGATTTGAATCACATACGAGGGACCATCCTCTTCACTACCCACAATATCCAAAACTTCCCAAGGACCGAAGTATTGAGGCATGGGTTTCCTAGAGATGTCGAATTCCTGCGAAGTATTGAGGCATGGGTTTCCTAGAGATGTCGAATTCCTGCCCTAACTCACTAGACTTAACCGAGACACTTTCCCCTATCTGAAATGTGGACTGTGGTCGATGTTTGTTCTCAGAAGCAATCATTGCTTCTTGAGATTTCTTGACGTGTTTGACAGCTTGCTGCAACAACTTCTCGTACTGGACACCAAATTCAATGGTTCCAGGAGTTGCAGCAGGTCGGTTTTCAAGCAGGAGGAAGTCTAGAGCTGATCTAGGCTTCCATCCTAGATCCAACTGATTCGGACTAACACCAGTGGTGCTGTGCACAACATTGTTGTACAGGCTGACGATGAGAGGTAAGTTCACATCCCAGTTATCCTGGCTGGGCTTCATGTAATGCCTCAGCAGATGCTGCACCACTCGGTTCACCTGTTCAGCTTGCCCGTTGGCTTCGGGATGATTCCCATAAGTCATCTCAAGTTGGCTGCCCATCTGTTCTGCAGCCTTCTTCAACATTTCACTGGCGAAATGGACATCTCTGTCACTAACGATAGTCTTTGGCAGTCACGCACCGAGTTATTCATGGATAACTTGATGACGTGCTCAGTCCTTGTGGTCTTTGGCATGGCAATCAGTCTAGAGTACTTGGTAAACCTATCAACTCTGACGAAGATATGCCTCTTGCCATTCTTGCTGGTCACGTGGGTATCCATGAAATCCATGGGCACACTCTGTCCCGGACCAGCAGGAATGGGTAGGGGCTTGAGTAACCCAAGCGGAGCTCGAGTCTGTGGCTTGTCCAGCTGACATACTTGGCAAGTTTGAACGTACTATTTGGCTTCGTCTAGCATACCAGGCCACCAAAATCGTTGTTCCAGATTAGCACTAGTCTTCTTATAGCCAAAATGCCCCATTGCATCATGACATTCTACTAAAAATAAACTACGCAAAATCTCACTAGCTGGAACAACTAATTTCTTAAGCCCTGCCTTCTCAAGGAAGAGTAACCCATCCACCATCACAAACTCATCAGATGTGGCTTTGTCTTGGGCCTCAAATTTGCGTATGATGTCCATCGCGGCAGGATCTTCCTTGTAGGCTTCCTCCATAGATCGAGTTACATCATCAGAAAGGCCAAATTCAGTTATTAGCGCGGCCAAGTAATCTGCTCTATGCGACCGTGCATCAACAACCTTGTTGTACTCCCCCTTCACATAGTCTAGCTTGAAGTCATACTGATCTATGACCGCAATCCAGCATTTGAGTGCATCACAGAGAACAGGTTGTGTCTTGATCCACTTCCCCCCGCTTGCTGCTTGACTTTGCATCGCAAAGTTGTGTGGTAGTGGATGATGCTGCGTCGCAATTGCGTCGTGAGTGTCGACATGACTTGCGGAGGATTTGCAGTGTGAGGAGGTTACCCGCGAGTGTGCTTGATGGTCAATCCTCAGATAGAAGAACTTTCCCAACACATAGTGTCTCCTGTGAACAAGTGCTTTGTAGAGGGTGTAAAGTTCCTTTTCATAGGTGGACTTAGCCAACTTCTTTGAGCACATCTTTTTACTCATGTACTCGACCGCACTCAACTTCTTCCCTTCTTGCAGAGCCAGGACTGCGCCAATGCCATATTGGCTTGCGTCAGTGGTCACAACAAATGGCCTCTCAATAATCGGGAACCATGAGAACCTCATGGTGCGTGAGAGCATGCTTCAATTGCTTGACACTCGTTAGTCCATTCCCATGGTGTGTCAAGGCGAGTTAGATCAGTCAAAGGGTTGACCACCGTACTATAGTTCTTGACAAAGTTGCGGTAGTACCCAGTCATCCCTAAGAATGACCTGACGTCGATCACAGACTGAGGTCGTGGTCAATCACGAATGCTAGCCACCCTGACATCTTCAGGCCTTATACCATTCGTGGATATCTCATGACCCAAGTACAAGATTTTAGTGCGACCGAACTCGCATTTCTCTTAGTTAATCTTATACTTGTGTTGTCGAAGGAGTGAAAGTACAGTCTCTCGATGCTGAGCATGCTCCTCGACTGTTCTACTAAAAATAAGTATGTCGTCGAGGTACGCGACGATAAACTTATATAAGTAGTCATGGAATATCCTATTCATGGCGTGCTGGAATGTAGCCGGCGCATTGCAAAGGCCAAAGGGCATCACCACAAACTTGTACAGACCGTACCTGTTTTGAAATGCGGTTTTATGCTGGTCCTTCGGTCTAATGGGAATTTGATGGTAGCCGAACTTTAAGTCTATCTTAGTAAAGTACTTACATCCCTGCACCCTATCCAGAAGGTCATCGATGCGCGGTAGAGGCTCTGCGTTCTTCCCAATAATGGCAATGAGGCCTCTGTAATCAATGCACATCGTCAGTGTCCCCCCCTTCTTGGAGACAAATAGGACTGGTGAGCCGAAGGGGGAGGTACTAGCCGAACGGGGAGGTACTAGGCCGTATCCAACCCTTTTGTGTGAGCTCTTTCAGTTGTCGCTTGAGTTCGTCTAATTCGGTCGGTGCCATCCTCTAGATCCTTCCTTTGGGCATCTTGCTCCCAGGAACTATCTCTATGGTATGGACAACCTCCCTTTCTACAACTCCTGAAGGCTCCTCAAACAGATCAGGGTATCTTGGGACGACGCTTTCCCAAGAACTATCTCTATGATATGGTTAGGAGGACTTGGGGATTATAGCAAACTCCCATTACTACTACCAGTTTCTCGACGACACTAGTGAGTTCCCGCACGGTCTTATACTTCCTAGTATCAAGACGGGTCACCGCGTAAGTGGCTTGCTGAGCCTGCTAAGGGTTGTGCCATCGTGCCTCAACCAAGTCCATAAAGCTATCTAAAGTTTGGGTCTGTGCCCAATCGTTCATTCGCTTGGCAAAACCCTTTGTCGCTATGTACCCATTAAACCATCTTGCCGACCCTTCTACGTAAGAAGCGACAGTGATCACCTCCTCCTCGCCTAGTGTTCGCTTGGCCCTCACCCACAATGGAACTATCCTCAACCAAGTGTCGAGGGCCTCATCCTTCTTGTATCTTGTAAACAA